CTAAGTTAGACTTTGTAACTTAAATTTTTTTGATGTCAGTGAAGTGAATTGTAGATTTCTGAGTATTAGTGGTAAAATTGTTTCCTAGCAGATTGGTAAAAGAATTAAAATAGTAAAAATCTTTGTGACACAACTCAGGTACATCAAAAAAAGGAGAACTCTTTTTTGAATCCTTGATAATTTGTGCGTATTGGGCTGGAATATAAATGGGGCCTCTCACAAGGGACTTTTTTACTTGTTTTTCAATTATTGAGTGAATAGCGTCCCCCTCATTTTGTGTATGGCCCTTTATTAAAAATTTATGGATTATACTTCTTAATCTAGGGATGACACGAAGAGCGTAGTTATAAAAGCCAATTATGTATTTGTTTTTGTTCTGACCTGGGCAATTGTCAGAATATCTTTCATGCCAAAGGTAGCAGTAAGCCTTCATATTGTTCAGTTTACATATTGTAAAATTATATGTCGCAACTTTACTAATATAGTAAAAGACGGAAATGTCTCCTCGTGGAATTGGCAGAACAGCTTGCAGATCATAAACTGCTACTACAAGCTCTTCTAAAGCCCTTTTTTATCACAGTCTTTTTCAGTCCTGGATAAATTCTTTTCCTTTAGATGTTGATGGTATCTCACATCTTGTTCCCTTTGTTTTGGAGTCTTATTTTTATAAGCTTCACAGTCTTCACATTGGTCTTTCTTCGGAAAAAATAGTTAAATGTTGAACTCCGTGTTAAAAATGTGCCGAAACAGAGTATTTGACAAACATTTTACCTTCTTGTTCACATTGAGATTTATAGTCTCTGTACAAATCTACGATAGTCTTACTTATCATCAATAAATTACCTTGCTTGTTGACGAAGGTAATGGCTTTCAATACGAGGGATATTTTGAATAAAGTTCCCAGCTTCCAATTTCAAAGCAGGATCCAATTTTTTTAGATTAACTCCAACTTTCCCTCTCAGATTAGGTTGAAGCTCTCCAGACTCACCCTTTTTCGAAATTGTGGTTCTAATCATCTTATCTGAGATTCCTAATGTTGCTATAACAAAGGCTTTACAAATCCTAACTCCACCGGGCCAAGAAGGAATAGTAAAATAATACGCGCTATTCTTTGTTCTACTGTTTCCATACCTGTACTTAAGATTAATTTCTTTTAATGTATTTTGGTGGCTCAGGCATTTTAACCTAGTAAGTATAACCATTTTTGCTTTTTAACCATAGTCAAAATTTCATAACCACGTTTGTTTTAACTAAATGGTTTATACTTATTTTAGGCAATTTTAAAATTTAAACCTGATGATGGACTGTTTAGTCCGAAAACGTTTGTTTTTTTTTATGTAGCCTTTTTAAGGGTTTTTAAATAAATATACCCATTTACGAAGACTAACCTCTTTTTTGTGATACGTGGTATACAGCCAGATACAGGAATTGTTTTCCTTGTGGATTTAGTCCTATTACTTTTAAAGTTAAACTAAATTCAATCCTAGATCAACAATACAATGAGTGAATTAAAATTTATATAGATGCATCCAAAGGTGAACTTGGCGTTAGAGCATTTGGTAACCCCAAATGACACTTTTCTAACTAAATCGTGAGTCTATGCTTAGAATTTACAAAACAGTAATTAGACCAGTGCTCACATATGGATGTGAAACGTGGACCCTCTCAACCACTGATGAAAATCAACTGAATCAATCAAAAAAAGGTTAATCTTTGTAAATGGGTATATTTATTTAAAAACCCTTAAAAGGGCTACATCAATAAAACAAACGTTTTCGGACCACACAGTCCATCATCAGGTTTTAAAATCAAAAAATGCCTAAAAATAAGTATACTTAAACCATTTAGTTAAAACAAACGAGATTATGAAATTTTGACTATGGTTGAAAAGCAAAAGATGGGTATACTTACTAGGTCACAATGCCTGAGCCACCAAAATACTAGGGTAAAAACCCTTTAAATTACATTTAGTTATAAAAGATTGTACATTGTGTTGTAAAATAACTGTGATGTTCAGTATTAAATTAAATTTGACTAGAGGTAACACATGGCTGAATCGGGTTCCAGAGCCGGTGAGAGAGAACCTCTACACGCGGAGAATAGCTGGGAACTGATTGACAAGATACCTATGAAGGATGACGAAAACAGAATGTCAATGCAACAAAAACTATATTAGTTGTACATATTATTACTACAGCCAAAAGATTCAACAAGTTTTGATGATTTTAAAAATAACAACAATCTAGGTGTTGGGATTTAAAAAACTTTTTTATTTATTAATTTAGGGTATAAAAGATGTGAAATCAATGATGGTTTTATAGTCATGATTAATAGAATGACCTGTGCCTTAGGCAACTTATGTTGCTTTTTGTCGTATGGAATGTGGTCTAAAAGTGTATTTTATGTTGGATTAGCTTATATATATATATATTATATATATATATATATATATATATATATATATATATATATATATATATATATATATATATATATATATATATATATATATATATATATATATATGAAAATTATCCTTTTATGTTTAACATATCTAGGACAAGGTAAAAATTAAATAACAAATATTTGAAGCTAATATCAGACCTCATATTTAAATGACTTTATTTAAGACTGCTCCTATGGTGAAAAATTAATAAAATTAAGTTTAGTAAGATGGAAATCTACAGGTTGAAGAAATTAAAGTAGTAACCTATGTGATTGAATTTAAAATTAAAGAGGCTGGGTTCCTCAGAGACTAATGAGAATAAAAGTAAAGGAAATGACTGAAGAAAAGGATGGGGGGTTGAAGGAGAAAAGGAGTTAATCAACAATTAGAGATAATAGGGGTCCTATTATACTTAAAGTATCTAGCACCCTGAACAAAATCTATTTTGGTGGTATTAAATTCAGTTTGTAGAAACCTGAAATTTGTCGTATAAGTGTGCTACTAAGTTGTTGACCGAGAGAAGGTGGACAATGGTAGATAAGGATTCTTTGTAATATGGTAGATTATGAATTTTAATAACTTGTTGGATAATGTTTGAGTGATTACTAAATTAAAAATATTGGATACATGTTTAATATATGAATTGACCAAGAAATAATGAAAGAGAACAGAATTGACAGGAATGTGATGTAGAAGTGAAGAGTGGATAAGATAGTGATATGTTGGTATGATAGATGTGGATGGTTCTGAAGTTAACATTGGGGTCGTATTTTCGTGGCTCAGGCATTGTGACCTAGTAAGTATAACCATCTTTTGTTTTTCAACCATAGTCAAAATTTCATAATCTCGTTTGTTTTAACTAAATGGTTTATACTTATTTTTAGGCATTTTTCGATTTTAAAACCTGATGATGGACTGTGTGGTCCGAAAACGTTTGTTTTATTAATGTAGCCCTTTTAAGGGTTTTTAAATTAATTTTATCCATTTACAAAGATTAACCTCTTTTTGTGATACGTGGTATACAGCCAGCTACAGGAATTTTTTTCCTTGTGGATTTTGAATCAATCAGTCTTGTATGACATGTTAAAATTGTTTGTTTTATATGTTCTTCCAAGTAAGTTGTTGATCAAACCACATACCTAAGAACTTTGCCGTTGGTTTAAATGGGAGCATAGTATCATATAATATTTTTAGGGGGCATTGATGAAACCTTTTTGGAGAAAAGTGTTCCTGATATTTTTGATACTGAAAATTTGAATCCGGTCGTTAGAGACCATTGTTCTAATTAGTTTAGAAAATACTACAAAGCGTTTGTCATTGATGCAGTGTTATTTCCTTTGATATAGACAGCAAGGTCATCTGCGAAAAGTAGAGCCTTTAGAGGTTTAGTAAGGTTGTTAATAATATTATTTATTGTCACTAAGAATAATGTAGGGCTTAGGACTGACTCTTGGGGTGTTCCATTTTCTTCACTTTTCTCCGCTGAGTAAGTATTATGTACTCTCACGCAAAAAGACCTGTTCGGTAAAAAGTTTTTAATAAATTTCAGGCAATTTCCACGAATATTCCATGAATGTAGTTCTTTGAGAATATTGAATTTACAACAAGTATTAAATGCCCTTTTCAAGTCGAAAAATATTGCAATACAGTGTTGTTTGGTTGCTAGTGCTTCATGAATGTCAGATTCTAGATCAAGAATATTGTCAATGCCCGAGCGATTTTGTCTGAAACCGTTTTGTTCCGGAACTAAACGATTTGATAATTCTAATGTCCACGTTAATCTAAGATTTACTATTTTTTCCATCAATTTGCTCATAGAGCATGTTAAGCAGATTGGTCTGTATGAGTCAGGTTCTAGGATTAATTTTTGAGATTTTAAAATAGGTAATATAATAGCTTTAGACCAAATTGATGAAAATTTATTATTTTATCAAATTAAGTTAAAAAATTGAAGAATAAACAATTTTGCTGAGTAAGGAAGATGTTTTAGAAATATTGCCGGGATATCGTCTGGTCCCGGGCTAGTGTTTTTTAATTCGGATAAAGCATTTTCCAGTTCTTTAAAAGTGAAAGGTAGATCTAATGGATCACTTAAATTGTTTATTGCAAAAAGATCAGTATTTCTGTTATTATTTTCCTTTTAAGGAATGTATCATTGTTAAAAGAGTTTTTGTTGGGAATTTGTTTTTTTTTCCCAAAAAAATTGTATAGAAGCATTATTTCATGTGTTTGGTGCAAAAAAGATGCAAGTCTAACTTTTTTCTTATTGTTTCAAAAATTATCTACTTAAAAATAGTCTCAAGTATGAACTAAATCTGTTTGTCATCAATTGTTATTATCTTTCGGGTTAAAATAAAAATTCTTATTAAAAAAACAATTTTTTCAATTTCCCTACAATTACCAAATATGAAGCTGCATCTTTATTACAGCAAACTCTTCAATTCTGTCTTGCATATTTTTATAGAAAAAGTTTCGATTTTTCACCTCTTCCTTGCGTCAACAAATTAAAACCGATATCGTGATATGACAAAAATGTGTACTGTCATTTTTATTCAATATGTTACACATTTGAAAACGTCAAAAATTTAACAAAAATTTTAGTTTACAGTTTTTTATTTATGCAAAGTTACAAAATTTCAAGTGAAATATGTAGTCAAAATAAAAATTTTATTCCCGATGATGAAACTTATAGACAAAAAATTAAGAATATAAAACACAAGCATGTTTTAGAACACAAAGAGTAAGTTTATATAAAACAATATCCTTTCTTATTAATTTTCAGTTAGAGAAGTATTTATTAGTATAAAAATGGACATAGATTAAAAATATATAAACCCAAACATACATTATAAATTAATTTTATTTTAATAAAATTTGGTATACGAGTAGGGGAAAGGGGGGAATAGTGGCCGCCTAAGCATTTTGGTTTAGTAATACCGCTACATTAGGCTTTAAAAATTATACTGTTAACGTAAATAAAACTTCAAACCTTAGTACTTGACACTCTATTCACGAAAAATTTTTAAACAGAACAAAAAAAAATTAAAACGGTTTTTCAGACTTCTGCTTTTGGCCATATTTACCCGCTGCCGAGTGATAAAAGTGGCCACTGGCACTATTACCCCTATTTAAAAAATAATTAAATGCAGAAATCGCAAATGTAACTTTTGCCTTTGAAACTGGTACAGTCTTTGTGTGTCCATTGGCCGCAAATGCTGCATTGGACCCAGAGTTCTCTGTTTTTTTACCGAATTCGCCACAAATTGTGCACATATCTTCGTCATCGTCATCATCTTCATCTGCAGCTGATATATCTTCTGTGATCTACTGTGTTCTTATACAATTTCTTTTTGTTTTGGAACTGTTCGCAGAAGACTGGACTCTTCGATGCCTATTTTTCGTTTGGTTCCTTTGCTGGCTTTATTTCTCATTTGCTCTTCCTTCTTCCACTGTTACTTCTAGAAGTAACTTCATTGGTGTTAATATCATTATTTATCTTTTATTTCCAACTGAGTCATCTTTTGAGCATCCTGGTAGTGGAATTATGTCAACAAAAGATACTTCAAACTTTTTGTCATGTGTCGAACTTTCTTTGTTCCCCTTAACTTCCTTATTATTCTTCTCCTTATCTAATCCACTTTTTTTGTCTTGGTCTAGTGTCTTTTTATCTTTTTCCTGTATGAATGTTTCACCTGGAGCAAAGTCTTCATCGGTAAAATTTTCAGGATTATATGGAAATATTCCTGTATTCTCAAAACCTTTAATGGCTTTGACTGGTGTGGTTACGCTACCATATGAATTTTTAAATATTTCAGCTATTTCAAACGTCGTGATACGCTCATGAGGATGACTTCGATGATAATTGCTACATTCAATGTTATCCGCTGATTTTAACGATGAGGAAAAAGCTACATCCAGCGGGTGGAATCGGTGCTATGTGTGCAGGGGTATGGTTAACATAATAATTTCTCGTTCTTTACAGAAATTATGTCTCTAATGTACAGTGGCTACTGTGATTATCAACGATTAACAAAACTGGATCATCCTTTGAAGGTTTTACAACACTGTAAAAATGCTGGAGCCATCCGAGAAATATTTGCTCATTTATTCACCCATTGTCCGAGCAGCAGTAGACTGCACCAGGTGGCCCATTTTTCTTTAACTCTGGTTTCATCTTTTGCGGTCATAAATAAACAAAGGTGGAACATATGTTCCTGAGGTACTTATGCAGCACATAATGGATGTTGTTTGACCTCTTTCTGCGCTTGTAATAAAGCCGTCTCTCTTTTTTCCCTTTTCATCAAGTATTTTTCCGGGGTTTTGGACGGTTGTTATGCCTGTCTCGTCTGCATTATATATTTTGGATGCTGAAAATTTATATTTATCCAATATGGATTTTAAATTAGAGAAAAATTGCTTTACTTCAGTTTTGTTAAAAGCAAATATGCGGTTAATTTTTGTCGCCTCCGGTTTTCTTAATTAAATAGTTGGATTTCTTTTAAGAACGCCGTCAAGCCAGTCTCTTCCAGCAATATCATTTTCTCTGGAAAATGGCTGATGTAAATTTTTTTCTTCAACATATTTATAGGCACATTTTTTTATTTTTTTGGGAGTTATCCCATAAAAATGTTTTGATAACTTTATGACCTTGAAGCATGTTCATAATTTCTTTAAATTATTCCCTTTAGTAAATTATGTTCACGCCGCCCATGCCTGCATATTTTTCTCAAATAACCGACGCTACCGAGCGATTAGTTACGCCTTTTTTTAACAAAGAAATAACTCCGCCAAATGTTCCTTCTGCTTTTTATCTTGTTTTGGTACATAAAAATCTTTCCTAATAACAAAGGAAAAAGGTCCTATTGTGAAATCTCCGAGCTACCTTCTCAGAAAAACAGAAGATTTTTTTTTCGTAGAAAGTTACTTTCCATTGGTAAAAGCTATGAAAATGAACCCCAGTAGCCCAGCAATTTAATGTCAATTTCGCGTGGCATCCTTCAGCCAATATCCCCTCTCTATTTTCAACCTTCGCTTGTCTAAGCCCTTCTAAGTTCACAATCCGATATTCATTTCCAAGTTGGTTCCTGTGGCAAGCGGTCTTATCTTCGACAATCGGCGGTAAGTGGATTTTCAATTCACCCTTATTTATCTTTATACAGTGTGTCTTATATTAATTATCTTCTCTTTCGTCAAACGGACGTCTTCCAATTGAAGTCACTTCTGTTTGCCGTTCAGATTTTACCGTTCATATTCTACTCTACACCGTTCAGATTCTACATTGTTCAGATTCTACACCGTTCTTCTACTACTCTTCTCTCACCGTATTGTATTGTACTACCTTGGTCTAACTGCCTCTTTTCGTCGGCCTAAGACAATCTAAGGGATTACGTTAAGAAGACCGCAATTCTTTGTGGCTGTCATCCCAACTACCTGTTGTACGGACCGAAGTCAAGTGCCTTATTGAGGGCGTAATACCATTATTTGAATCCACCTGTTTTGTGAGTACCTATAATTTTTATTGACTAAACTGTGATAACGAAATCTTTAGAAGTTGATTTTTGACTCCAGTTCAGTGTACCTTCTTATTTATGGAGGTTTAGTTTGACTGAGTACAAAAATACAGGATAATATATACGTATAAATAACGTACAATTGATTTTATATGTAGATTATATTTCTGATAAATTCTATTCTTAGATTTGAAGTGATCACGATCAAAAACCTAGTAACTTCATATTTAGGTATCCTCAAGGCATAAAATTCACTTGCTTGCCAAATATTAACGTAGATATAATTATAATGTTCCTTGCCCTTTTTTAATTCTTGAGGATACTAAATTATTTATAACTATTTTTTAAAGAGATATTTTTTGTTTGTAATTAATAATAAGTTGCGCAATAATCATGCCATTTAACTATCCAATAAAATTTGGTATAGTACATTTACTTTAACAAATATACCTAAATATAATTTTGTTAAAGATCTATTTGCTTTTTATTTCTTTTATATTTTTGTATATAATTTGAATTTATATTTTTGTGTTTCTCTTCCAGGCATTTTTTATTGACTTATATTATTATTTGTTTGATCGTGTATTTTGTGTATATGTGTCGAAATATTAGGAGTGTACCGCATAATTCCGATACCTTTTCTCTCACGGTTTACTTTATTCTCGCTTGAGTTCTCTAGCTATATCTTACCTTTCTCGTCATCCTTTTCTATGTGCCTTAAGGTTTCCCTGTTCCTCTAAAAATAGGGTGGTGCCCAAATAACTTTTCTTCTCTTATCTATCTCTTATCTTATCTTCTAACTTTTTGTCTTTGTGTTGTAAGTACTTCTTTAATTGATCCGTGATATTTGAGCTGTAACAAGAACCCCGACCAAGATACCTCTACCAGACTGAAGCCCGAGCCTAGTACCGTTCTTTGTGTAACCCCCAATCAATCATCACGAGGGTACAACCTGCTTCGTCAAAACTTCTTCTTCTTTGGTAAATACAGAATTACGACCTAAAGAAGCAGCTGTTGTATCATTTCGCTTTAGTCGTAGTTGAATTGTAAATCTGGGAATTACAAAACGTCTTACAACTTCACGGACGTTTCTGCCATTATTTACTGCATATATTGCTGCGCTAAGTTGCTCAGCATTCCATCGTGCTTTGTCACTTTATCTCTTGGAAACTCGAGGCATCTGAAATATAAGAATTTATAAAGAAATACTCTGTATTATATAAATACAATTTGGGGTAATAGTGGCCGGCCAGCATTACCTCCAGACGCGTGGCTATTATAACCCCAAATGCATATTTATACTGATCTATTCATAATCATTAATCACTTAAGTAAATTAGAGCAAGAACTTTTTATATAGTCTTAAACTACGTTAAAAATTTAACAAATGGGTACCAACTATGCAGCTAAATAAACTTCTTCTTCTTGGGTGCCATATCCCTACGCAACGTCGGCGACTACCATGCTTATAATATTGTTATACTGATCTCGGTCTTGCGCTACGTGTAGCAATTGGTCCGCTGTCAAACCTGTCCACTGCCGCAAATTCCTCAACCAAGAGAGTTTCTTCCGTCCTATCCATTTCTTTCCTTCGATTTTACCGTTGAGAATTAGCCGAAGGAACTCATATCTTGGTCCTCTGATTATATGTCCAAGATATTCTAGTTTACACCTCTTAATAATATTTAATAGAGTTCGTTGATGTACCATTCTTCGAAGAACTTCTTCGTTTCTGGTTCTGCTAGTACATGGAATTTTTAGTATCCTTCGATACAACCACATTACATTGTAACCGTTTCAAAAGTTTTAGAAAATTCAATATAAATTTGAATATTTTTTTTATAATCAGACTACTAACCCCATCTATTTGCCAGATGTTTGTAATCGACTCAAGGTCCTACATTATTTCTTAACATATCCGATGAGGGCGAACGATATTAAGCTTGTCGGTCACGCCTTCATTTCAAACCGCGAAAGAGTTTCGTTGCTCTTTTTCTTGTTGCAACCGTTCGTTTGATCGGACCTGTGTTTCGAATGAGTTCCTAAATTAGGGACTTTTCCAAGAGGTTAAACTTTCAATGATTATGTTAAATTAACTGGAACATTTTCCGACAGTCCAATACTTACTATAATATGGCTTCCAATAATTACATATAATACAAATGGATCCTTCTATTAATTATCTGATGGAGTAGTTAAAATTACATATAATACAAATGGATCCTTACTA